AGGGATGGAGGGGAGTGCATAGCATTGATCCACTGTCATAGTGCATCTTGGGGTGGTGGAGGAGCATGGAGGAGGTGGGCATAGACTCCATGTGGAGCCTGCTGCCAAGTGAACCTGTTACTTTTTCCTAGCTCATGCACATTACAGGTTTGCTTTAAAGGAGAACTATGACATGAGTGATTTCCACTCACCTCATAGTTCTAAGCCGACCTGTGACAATGAGACTGTCACAGGTCGGCTCAGTAGATCGGGAGGTGAGGGAACACATACCGGGTTCCCTCACCTCTCGATCCTGTCACGACTCTCTGCCGTGACAGGGGGAGGGGCTGGATTCCCCTCTCCCCGCTCCGATCTGCCAGCGCTGACTGGCGGAACGGACGGGGGAGGGGGCGGGTACAGCTGGCTCTGCCTCTAGATAGGCAGAGCCAGCTGTCACTCACGCAGCTGGGCGGATCCCGTCATCTAAGTCGGGATCCGCTCCAGGTGCGGCGTCTCAGTATACCGCTAGCTGTAGCTTGCGGTATACTGAGCTTAGGGTAACGGGAGGACGCTAGTTGGTGTCCTCCCGTTACCCCAAGGAGAACTATGGGGAAAAACACTGACCCCATAGTTCTCCTTTAATGTTAAATGACATGCAGCCAGAACAACATGAGCAGATTTATTTACTGAAGCACTGCAAAAGGCAATGATGATGAGCAAAGTTCAGTAACTTTAAAGGGCTGATTTTTAAAGCGTTCGCTAGACATTGCTGCCACTAGATGGAGATGAGAAGCATAGGAACTTCCTATGCACCTCAGTCCCATCTAGTGACAGTAATGTCATGCAAATGTCTTTTGCCCAACTATACACTGGGCAAATGCATTATTAATCAGCCCCATAGACATGATATTTACCTAATCTAACAATCTAATTGGTTGCTATTGGTTCTGCACATGGTACATTTTTTACATAACCAAGTAAAGCTGTATTTACTGTAAACACCTAATTGTGAGCAGAGCAGTTTAATACATAGGATGGGCTTAGCACATGGTTGAATGATTGTAATGATTAAAGTGAAAAATATATTCCTTTGGTAAACCACCCCAGTGAGTAGCAGTGGAGATCAATGTTTTACGTACACAGCTTCAAAATCACAATGGATATGAGTACCTTAGCTCTCCCAGACTTGAAAAAAAAGATAATTATTGCGATTTATACCGTGGATATAAAAGAACATTTCTCAAGCTTTGTATTTTGTCTGTGTAGTTTGTTATGTCATGTTACAATAAGCAGTTCTTCCTCAAATATTACCTAAAATGTTATCTGTATGATTCCATTTTATAATACCAATTTGCAAGTGGATTATGGTTATGGTCAACCTCCACTGCACAACATAAAAATAATTATACTGATTCATTGCTGAGTATTGGAGATAATATCATGATCAGTTAGGTGTTTCTGCTGCAACACTCTATAAAAAAAGACCACATAAGGACCCTTCTTTACTGCCTACCTACCAGCATGCAGAAAAATTTAATCAGTGGATGGCAGTGATTACATGAAAGCTTGTATCTTGCAGGAGCACACAGCACCTTTGTCTTTTTAATGTTTAAAGGGTTAAAGATGGTGCTTGAAAACTCTTCAAATAGATTACAGAACCCGCTTAAATAGTAAGGACACTAATTAATTGATAACTTGTGTCGTGATAATGAATTAATCCCTTTCTGTGCACTTATGCCTTATGAAAAGGGCACTTACACAATGATCACCTTATCATTAAAGTCTCGAAAAGCATTTAAATTCTAATTAAGGCTAAATTCCAATTAGGACTAAATAACAAGGGCGATTTTATTCCCACAAATTTGTAACCCCTTGTTGGCAAATCACTTTACTTGCAACAAGTGCTCAAGTGGCCCATTAGCATGAGACTAAAATTGCTCCTGTAGATAAGGACCCATTTCTTAAGATCTGGATTTACTTTACTGTCCAATAGAAATGCACAGATGTTAATGTTTACCTCATTTTGTTATTGTGCTGGAAAACTTCCGTGATTATCATACCTGCAATTAGTAATCTTTGGTGGATTATAGAAGCGAGCGTTGTATTCATCTTGACATCAGTCAGAATTTGTCTTTATTGTCAGATGTTTCTTTTATAGAACATTCATCAACTGTGTTTTGACACATGTATAAATAAAACAGAAGAGAATGCCTCGGTTTTCAAGCCCCGATTCATACAAAATATATTCTGTTTATTCTTAGAATGGGTCTTGGAGTTAATTACAGATTTTGGGTAAATTATACTAAGATTTCTTCATCACTAAATATGTTTAAATGAATGCTTCTGCATAGAACAAGTTCCATGGTATAATAAACTCATTTTGTAACTGTGTAAATGAAAAGCTACATTTTACTTTTGAGTAAGAGTAAAGCAGAAAAAAAACCACACGGCCCAATACATTAACATGTTTTTACTACACCCTGGAGCCACCAATCTGAATCAGACTTTAGTAACAACCTGATGATACATAAGGGCTACAGTCAGGGGCGTCCCGAGGTTGGGTGACACCCGGAGCGGTAACCGAGTGTCACCCCGCCGAGATGTCATCACGCACGCGCGGCAGTATTCTGATACCTGACGGCGCCCATCTTGGTGATGGACGCCGGCAGAGAGAGAAGGGGACAATCACCCGGCAGGATAAGGTATGCCGCCGGGTCCCCTCCTCTCTCCTGATACTGTCAGGCGTTCGGTCCATGACCGAGCGCCTGACTTTTCAGAGGGGGGTGACCCCAAAATGACTGTAAGTCATTTTGGGGTCACCCCTCCAATGGTGTCACCCGGGTGCGGGTTGCACCCCCCGCACCCACCTTGTGATGCCACTGGCTACAGTCATTATCAAGCACAATATTTTACTTCAACTGACCCCAAACGGAACTTTCCTGTTCCAAAGGACCTTGTCCTGGAGACTCTGAACACATTTCTACGAAGATGGAATAGGAGCCTCCTGACCACATGCCAAAGACCACTTATTCTGTAATCTGCCAATAACTTAGTAAGGAATAGATTGAGAACAGTGAACATTATCAGGCTAACATAATCAGTACTTTAGTGTTGCATGTTTCTCTCAGATGCATAGGACCACAAAGCAGTGTTCTGGGGAAGGGTGGTAGGGATACCTACAAAGCACATGTCATGAAGCCGGAGTTAGCCTGTGGGGCCGGACTGCTGGACAGGCACCTGCGCATGCACGTGTGCATGCGCATCATCCTACACAGAGGATTGTGCGTGGCCGCGTGCCTGTACATAGGACGCATGGACGTACGCACACACCCTTCCTAATGATGGCGCCAACAGGGCTATTCAAGGCTGAGACACCTTGACCTCCCTGCTGACTGATCTTCAGCTGTAACCCTGCTCCTGAAACCTGTGAACCTGTTCGATCATATGTTACCGACCCGGCCTGCTTGACCTCGCTCCTGTTCTGTGCTCCTTGACCTCGGCTTGTTCTTCTACCTCTCTCCTTTCTGCTCCCTGGTTACCTCGCTGCCTGCAAGTTATTGACTCGGCCTGTCTCTGATTACGTCCTGCCTTTTGATTGTGTACCTTGCTGCCAGATTGTTGCTGACCCGGCTTGTCTCTACTCTGCTTCCAGGATCCTGCACTACAACCTGCATTCTGCTAAGGGACCCCTGCAACCTGCACGCAGCTCTGACAGGAGTCGCACCCTACCGCCTACTGGCTCAAATTGTGAAAGAGTGATTCGGGAAGTATGAGACATAATTTTCCAATATGCATTGGCCACCATACAGTCCAGACCTTAACCCCATTGAGAATCTTTGGGATGTGCTGGAGAAGATTTTACGCAGTAGTCCAACTCTCCCATCATCACTACAAGATCTTGGTGAAAAACTAATGCAACTCTGGATGGAAATAAATGTGACATTGCATAAGTTTATCAAAGCAATGCCATGAGAATATGTGCCGTAGTCATAGCTACAGGGGGTCCAACTAAATATTACAGTGTGTGACTTTTTTTGGCCAGGCAGTGTATATATAAAATGTCCACCCAATTAGCACATACAATTTCATGCTTAGAACTGGCTTATACTCAGAAGGCATAAAAATCATGAAACATATGTAAATAGTCATACAGGTTTTTTTAATAAGGCAAAGAACAATATGCAATATAGAAGTAACCCACAGCAACCAATTACAATCCATCACCCTTGCCCTAAACTGAATTAGTTGTTATGGGTTTCTACACCTTGCACATCTGTTTACCCTTGTCTTTCTGTACACTGCCTTTGTAAATACACAAAGCGTTTATGTAAACCCAAAATCTGTTTTTCAGTTTGACATCATGTCTCATTGAATATAGTTTTCCAAACCACCGCCTCTTAAATTGCAGGAGAGTTGTTAATTTGATGCGTGTGGCTCCTTCAGTTGGCTGTTGGGCTGCTGATCAAGTCTATCCTAAAGGAGCTTGCATTGCAGCCTGACAACACTGCTGCTTATTGTGAGGCAATAGTACTCAGCCTGCTACAGGAAGTGCTGTTACTGGCAGGATCTTCAGGTAGGAAACTTTACAAAGGATTAAAAAAAGACTTTATGTTTAAGAAAACTGTATACAGTGAGGTATTAAGGCAAACATACTGAATATAGATTTAGGGTTGACAAACTTTAAGATTAGAATACATAAGAGCTTTTCCTGCCTACAAAAACTTTTTTTTTTTTAAATCGCTCACTGTGTAATGCTTACAATGTCTAACATAAAGTAATTATCAAAGGATCCAAATTTTCTGAAGTAGAAAACAGTGTTGACCTACTGATCTAGAAAACCTTTACTATAAAATTACACATGCAGGTATTTACTGTTCTCTGGTTATTTAAAAGTGAAAAATATATCCTGGAAAATTGTAATCCAGTTTTGGATTTGTGTTTTTTTATTATTTATTTATTTATTGTGATTACCTAAGTATAACATGTTGCTACTCAATAGTTATTTTTATAAACAAGTACATCAGATTGTAATTTTTGGTAAACCTTAGAAACATCCTCGCCCTATGATTCAATGACAACCATTATAACCTCTGCTTCACATGTAATATTTTAGTCTGTCACTTATGAAGGCAGTTGGACATAAACAATATACAAATGGCAATACAGGCTTAAAAGTTGTATAAAAGACAGTTCAACATTTTGAAGAAGGAAAGAATCTCCCTGGTGAGAGGAACTTGTACCCATTTCCAGAGGACAGTTTTAAGCTGCGTAGAGAACCAGGCATGTTAATAGACGGGGTGGATTGCGTTATATTTGCTACATTAATGTTTTCAGTGTGTTTGTGTCCATTTGGTGGATTTGGCTGTGCAGAATCAACCTGCTTTTTCTGAGCAGATAGTTCTTTAAGTTCGAGATTATCTACAGCCTCTCCTTTCTTGCTATGTCGTGGAGAAAGGTTTAACAAGCTAAGGACATCTTTCTTTGAAGTCATTGTTCCTGGAGTTCCACGCAGTATTTTGATTGGACCTGATGTATGCTGAGGGTTACTTGTCCAGAACATCTTCAGATTGTGAATAGCCTTCACCTTCTCATCAATTGCAGCAAGTTTTAATTTATCCAAATCTGGGGCATCAGCGGGACTTGATCGGGCAGAACCAGCAGAGGAGTATGAAAGTGCTGGAGATGAGGTACTTCCTGCAGGGGATTGATGACCTGAGCTTGGGGAAATATTTTGAGGAGATCTTGAAATATGGGAACTATATGGGGAGCTAGGATATTTCAATTTGAAGTGAGGAGAATCTGAACTTGGAGAAGGCTGGTTACTGTGGAGACCTCCTGCTTCTTTTAGAGAGGTTTCAGAGTTTGCTGGGCTGTTATACCCTGAGCTCACCTTCTGAAATGAGGAACTTCTAGTTGGAGGCTTTGGTTTCACAGTAACTGGAGACGGCATCCCTTTTTGGACAGGTCTACTAAATGCACTTGTTTCTGAAGACCTGAACAAAGAACTACCATTTGGTGTTGTAGCACCATCAGGTGAATTACTTATTTTGTTCAAACTTCCGCTTCTTTGAAGACGTTCAACCGCAATCAAATGGCTTTGAGTCTCTTCTAAAATTTTTTGAGCCAGCTCTTCAGGATTGAGCTTAGGATTGTTCTCTTCTTGAGATTTCACTGTACTGTCTGTTTCTGTACTCGACTGATCTGATTCCCCAGTATCAGAGCTTGTAAGTTTTCCAACTTTTTGGAATGGTGAGTTTTGACTTGGAATTAGAGCTAGTTTAACAGGTGAGTTAGGTGTGCTTATACTACCCTTTGAGTTTACAGAAACTTGTATTGTTTCCTGAATGGTGCCTTGTCTTAGGTTAGGATCAAGGCTTTCTGTGTATGACAAAAGAGGTTCATTGCTTATTATAGAAAATCCCTCATACTCCTCCTGTTCTTCTTTGCCTAACGACATCTGGGTTTGTGGGGAAGACTGGCCTCTTCCTGAGGTCCTAAGAGAATAAATATGTTTTGGTCTGTCGTGGTCTTGACGTAGTTTGTGTTCTCCTTCAGGTAAGCAATCTGGTTTAGAGACAAAACTCATTGACGAGGCAATGGAACTTAGACTGTAGACAGAGATAGCATCTGAAGCCATGCCATCTGGACAGGTTGGAGAGAATGGATGACCAGGATACCCTGGTGGCATTGGGTTAGACAAAGACTGCGCAGATGCCAGTGATTCAAGTGATGAAGAGCTGTCAAGACTTAGGCGTTTTGGAAGCTCAGTAGAATCTAAAAAAAATGAAATGAAGGTTTTATCAATATTTTTAAATGGGAACGATATGCACAAACGTTTTTGTAACTTTGTAATCAAAGCAAAAACACATTCTCACCAAAATTGATTATAATATAAATAAGCCTATGGTCCAAAAAGACCAAATAAACCATTGCAAAACCATTTTTAAAGAGGACTATATTCAGTACTGCTCTTTTCAAATATGCTTTCCTCATCCATTCTAATTAGTCAAGAACAAAAAAAATCCTGGTAAGAAAATAAGGAAATTTGTCACAGGACTTTGATAAGTCATGTAACAGGGCTCTCCATCTATCACGGAGTATTATCTGCAGCGCCATGCCAAGAACAATGTGGGACGATCAAAGACAGCAAACTGGGATGATCTGCAAAAAGCATAATTTATCCCCTTATAAATTACAAAAAGCATATTCAAATCATACCAAAAAGAGCTAGAAGGGATTGCAGAGCAAACTGCATTGTTCTTTTGTTGGCTTGTTTGCCAGTTTTCAAAATGACTTCCTCCTGGCCCACTTCACACAAATCAAAACCTGAAAGAAGAACAAAATATGAATTTAACTTTTTGAATTGAAAAAACATTGAAAAGTAATATTATCTACATTTAACATTAAAACGTATGTGCAGACATACAGGTTTACATAAGATCCTGTGTAAAATAAAAGTAGTCCCTATGGCATCTCAACTCATACGTACATACATGCACTTATGTCTGCAAGAGCTGAGATGCATACTATGTACAGTCAATTCAGAATGACTGAAGAGCCTAAATGCTGTGTCTACGGATGTTTTGTCCCCTCTAATATCATGCTTGTACATATCAGCCTGATCTTTAAATCAATCTGGCATATCAAAATATTCATAAATAACATTTTTAAACAGCCCATGTAATGGTACAGTCTTGCCATGTACCACAATTGCTGATTAGATCTGTATGCCTTCTTACCATATAGTAGTTTTGCTCTCTGCTGCCTTCCTAGGAGGCTACTTTAGATAATGTTGTGGCATATGAGACATGAAACTAAAATAGCAGAAAATTGAAATAGAGAAAATCCTGAAGCTGACTTTTGTCATAACACAACTAGCAAACATCTGGCCAGTCATGGATGTAGGAGTCATTTTGGGAGTGAATGCATTTTCTGATGTGCACTAGTGTGTATTGTGCACTGTAAGAAATACAATTTCTTTTAAATACTTCTGTACTATATTATTGATCTATACAGAATGGAAAAGAATTATCACAGAGGGATTAAGAGAGTGGATGGATGGATCCACACTCCGATACTGCCTCTAGAGGTCCACCAAATAAGTTTGCTAAAGATGGAGTTTACTCAGGTGGATGTCATCACTGCTCTACCACATGACAGTGTTCTGGTCTGGTAATCAGCCTTGTAGATCTAAGCAATATCACATGTGGCAAAGTCACATGCTCCTATAAGAAATGGTGGGAGGGCTCCAAGAGAGCATGGTGGCGGTGAAGGACCACGAATAAGGGAGTATACTTTTGGGAAGGGAGGGGGGGAGGGTATCAGAAGACCCTGTCACTCTTAAGCACTTTTTAAATTACTGTAGAAGTAGTACAATATAATGCACACAATATTAATATTCTGCTTAACATAAGAACTTTAATAAAGTTTGTAGGAGAACGTATACTGAATTCCAGAGACTGGAAGTAGAGGAGATATTTAAAATGACATAGTGGTGATTAGCAATGGGAAAATTGATTTGCACATTAGATGCACTGCCATCTGGAATATGAGCATGTAGATTTGTCCAGTCAGGAAATAGTTATACTCCTGATTGCTTGGATTCCTTATCAGACACATCTCCATGCATATATTCAGGAGAATAATAAATAAGCAAAAAGTGGTTGTTTAGACTGGATCATTATTAGAGGGAGGGATATTTTAAAATCTTCAAATTCTTGTCCAGTAATAGAAGAAGCAGCGGTCATTTTGTTGCCTTTAGCTAATATGTGTTTTCACAGATCAAAAGAATACATAGAAAACCTACATAAATGCCCATAGGGGGTTATTCACGAAGGAGCCGAAGAATCCAGCCATAACTTCGGCTGATACTTCGGCTCTCTTCGGCCGCCAGAGCCCTTCGGTTCAGTCGAACTGAAGGGCTGCTTTTCAGGCTATTCACTATAGCCCGTACAGCAGTCGAAGGTGGCCGAGCAGCTCAGCCGAGCCGAAGGCATATGCTTCGGAGCGACTGAGCCAAAGTGACACCCGAAGCAGGGCAAACGGCCTGCCGAAGGCCTCCCCAAATGACCTGGGGACGCTGATCTGTCATTAAACAATAACTGGGTGGGGCCGGCAGCTGCCACTGCTAGCTCCGCCCATTTAAAAATCTTTATTTAAAAATTTTACTATTTATTTACATTTTAAAAATATTTTTTTCAACTTTAAAAAACAACAACTTGTGATTGATTTTCTATTCTGCTTGGTACCACGAAGGTACTGAGCAGAATAGCCAGGCCGAATGCCTCTCTGCGGCATTCGGCTATTCAATAACTGCCGTTCGACCCCTATGAGAATAGGGGCGAACGGCAGCGAGTGAGCTGCCGGAGATTGGGCTCAGCCGATCCAAATGTTGGATCAGCTGAGTCGAAGTCTTTCTGCACTTCGGCTCAGCTGAGCGAAGGCAGCCGATGTACAGCTGAAATCAGCCGTACAAGCCAGAAGTGAATAGCCGAACAGCGTTCGGCTCACTTCAATTCGGCTGGCTTATTAGTGGCTTTTTAACATAAATAATATTCTTGTCATATAATGAAAACATTTAACATACCTAGTGCTGCTAAAAACTCATGACATCCAGGTAATCTCCAAAGCTGAACACTGATGGACACCTGTATAGGGACTGTAGAAAAGTCATGTTCTTTGTCTGTCTGCAGCTGAACCAGGACCTGATGTAGCTAAAGAAAGAAAAGATCAAATGAATCAGAGGCACACCATGGAATAAAACTAGCCAGCAGTCATCACTGACCTCTACTTCTGAAATTACTAGTTTCCTGTCTGTCATGCTAGTGTACTAACCTCAGTTTATTTTAAGTCACTGGTTAAAAACAAGTATGCAGGTTAGGAGTTCTTATATCACTCTGACTTCCCTAACCTGTGTGCTAGTTTCAGGCAACATTTCCATTTGAACAGTTGGACAACTGGTCCTATGTCGCTCCTATTCTCCCAGGGCTAGGTGGAGAAAAGTGCTGGATGGTTGGCTGTGAAGCCTGGAATAAGGTAAGTTTTCCTCTCTGTTATACACAACTACTGGTAGACCACAGCATTGGATTGGAATCTAACAGAAATTGAATTTTTATCAACTAATCAGAGTTAAGCTTAATGCTTAAAAAGGTACAATGGAAATAAATGGACAGTTTTATCTGCTAAAGGAAAGGGAATACTGTTTTCTTAATGACAGCCTTAACTAATATGGATTACGCAACTTTTACTTTATTTTAAAGGAAAATTGCAATTTTTATTATAAATGTGTGTGTGTGTATATATATATATATATATATATGCCATTTTGCAGTTTACAATAATTAACTATTATCCTTCTATTTCAAGTAGCAAGCAATGGTTTCCTAAAATGGCAAAGACATTTTGAACTTGCACCTATAGAAGCAGTGTACAGTAGATTGCAAAAAATAACAAAAAAAACTGCGGTTTGGCTTTAGTTATATTTTAAAAGTTTCAGACATCCCTAACTTTGTCCTGAAAAAGTCTCAGAAATTCCCACAAATTGTCCTGCAAAAGCATAGTTTGGTTCAGGCATCTGCAATCAGCAGCAAGTAATGTAAACACAAGGTATGTCATACAATTCACGGTATCCTATCAAGCTGAACAATTCCACACTGCCTGTCAGCAAGAATTGCCAAGATCTACTATTAAGCTCCTAAGAATTGGATTGCTCTGTCTGTTATGTTGTATCACTATAATGCCAGTATTTGCATTTATTTTACTGTAATAGACAAGGAGGAAATGGAATAACACTGACTGATGAATTAGTGAATCTAAATTTGTCATGTACTTACCACTCCAACCATATTTTTAACAGCCTTCAGAAGCCAGCAGATTACAAGCAGAAAAATAAAATTTAGCAGAGGAAAAAAAGAAAAGAGAAAACAAGCCTTAAAATGCGAGCAAAGGTTACAGCGCAATATGTTCATTCATTTGTGTTCATGCTGAGAGAGGTTAGCTATATACAGTCATGCATCCACAATTAACACCTGGAAGAAAGCTGAAAATGCCATTCTTTGTATCCTACCCCTTCCCTTGGAACAAATAGTGCCTATGTCCCCATATGAGACTGAAGTGTTATCTAACCAATGATATATCAACATGCAAAGCGTTAGTATACCGCAGCAAAGAGAAACTAGACAAGAGAATGAAGGCAATTGTTCTGACTGAGCGTTATAACTCTCTGCAGGCTTTTGGGGGTAAATGTGTCTACTTATGGACAACTACATTTAAGTACAGTATGTCTGTTCAAAATGTAACGCCTCTCAGGTACCTTATGGTAAACCCACCTGCCATTGTGTTAAGAGTAATTGGCTTATTCTGTAAGGCAAGTACACAGAGCACAAATTATGTGCAAAGTGCACTGACACCGGGAACCAGACAGAATTATCTTAATAGTCAAATGGGTTAAGAAATGGTTTCCTGTAGGTCATTATTGTTACTGAGCTTTGCACATCACCAGGGGGAATACTGGCAACATTTGAACAGGAGGACAAACACAGCCAAGTGGTCCTTTCATGTTAGGGACAGATTTATGTTCCAGCATCAGCTTCCTTTAACCAGTTGACATCCGCGGTGTTAAACCCCCTTCCCATCCAGGCCATTTTTCAGTATTCAGCGCTGCGGTACTTAGCTCTTGACATTCGGTCACATAGTATCCCAATTCTCAGATGTGATGGCTACATTAAGTTTTCTTTTTTCTCCTTTGTTTTCACCTAGTGATTCTACCACTAACATGCTTTCTGTCCAAGGGTGACAACTTTACTCACTGTGCTGCACCTATGAAGGAGCAGAGTTGTCACCTGGGGACTGGGAGTATGTTAAGACTACAAAACACCTCCATCTCTAATAATTTCCACAACACGGGGGTGATCTGTTGTTCACACAAGTAACCTGTGCAGTGTAAATAAGATGTTTAAGATAACACTGCAGAGTCAGCCCTGGATTTCTGGCAAGCTCAACAGGGTTTTTTTTTGCAATTATTGAACAGATATAGCATACACTTTCAAATGTGTATTTAACAGCCTAAAAGGGCCCAAATGAAAGAAGTTCATTATTAGGGTTTACAAACACTACAAATGTCTAGCTTGTAGATAAGACACAACCTTGAGAATTCAATAGGCTCATTTAACAAATCTAACACATCAAGAAAAGGTTCCCTATTTTAAAAAATGTGACAGTCATTTTCAGCAGCATGCAATGAGATTTGAAAGTGACAGTCACGTGGATCAAAACAAAGATCCTCGTGATTCTGTAAAGATTTGTGAATTGATCCTATTGTGTGTAAAGTGCACTAGGTGGGCAATCCTTACAAACTCTAAAACCTATAAGTAAAATGTGAACCGAGCACTGGTCATGGTAACCCGGTAATCAGCTTTCATTAATCTGCCTACTGTGACCTTATACTGCATTTCCAAGCAATGCCACCAATTCAAGCATTGCTTTCAACAAGCTGGGCCATGTAAGGGATGACTTCAGATAAAGATCAAGCACCTGCGTGAAATGAACTCATTATTGCAAAAAGATGTCTCTACTGAATGTGGGATTTCCCTTCACCCTTTTTACTGCATTGAATACTGATGGAATCAGGGGTAAAAGACACATTAGATTCTACCTCTGCAGCCAATCTCAAAGCTCCTTATGTGTGTGCCTTAAGCCAATAAATATGTATTAACACCTGCAATTGGTTACTGCACTATTGTGTTACTGATTACACAGCCCTATGAGTGGGTGGCATAAGAACATACTGTAAATGATTGGCTGTGTCCTGGTATACAAGCTTTGGAAAGGCCAAGAGAAGAAACAGACAATAGCTCAATGTTGCCCTGTCATGCCATACCAGCTCTCAGTGCAGCTCTTAGAATACAATGAAGCTAGCATGCAAATAAGACAAGCAGCTCAGCTTGTAGATCTAGCACCCATAGGTTTAGACATGCACACCGATTATGAATGAGATCTGCCTCTTCTTTAGCGCTGTGCTTGCAAGGCCATACACAGATCAGCTTATGTGCAATGTGATGGACAGCTGTAGACACATGATGCAGAATTATAGATTATTCAGAAAGCATTATTATAGAACACTCTGCTCAGAACCATGCCCGCACTAATGGTGTTGGCTAATGGTGTTGGCTTCAAGGGTGTTGGCAAGAGTTACAGTCGACTGATAAGACTTTGTAAAGTAGCCACCACTCCAAGCTCGCTCCTGTGATGGACTACAATCTCAGTACAAATTAGTAAACTAAACATGAGATTGTAGTCTATCACAGGAGCGAACTTGGAGCGGTGGCTACTTTACAGGGACCATGGAGAACGGAAGTAGCCACCCCCCAGAAGGAAGGGCAGTGTCAGCACCAATTCAGAGATGATTTGAGGACCTACAGCTGAGTGATACACAAATAAGATACATTTTTTTTTAATAGGTAAGGTTCTTGAATGCATTTTTAAGGTTTGACTTGTGAGTTTACTGTCACTTTAAGCATAAATTGCAGAACAATGCCAACAACCCACAAAAACAAGTCAGGAAGCAACTGAACGGTCAGAAAAATGCTCATATGTTACTCTGAGTTACTGCACATTACACATTGCATTAATAAGCTTGTTAGTCTGATAAAGCAGACATTATTTTTCAGTGTTTCTTAATAAATGTGGTTCACCATATAATTAATGGGTTCCATTTGTTATGAACGTACAATTGTAATTTAAATAAGATGCCAAAGCAAACCCTACTTACCCGATTAATCAGCTGTTCTCCAGTTTCTGAGGCTGTGATCAGTTTACAAAGAGCTTGAAGTGCTGCATGGGGCAAACCTACAATCCAATGACAAGTAAATCATGAATTAATGCTTGGATGTTGTATTGCAGAAGTACATTTACACAGTTCCAATTTGGGTGGATGGACCCTTTCCACAGGTGGAACATACAGTATATATATATAAAATACAAAAAGGAATGCAGCTCAGTATTCATTAATAAATCATTAAATGTATTTTTACTGCAAGCATTGTAAGTACCCTATATGACTTGGTATCAATTTTTTCTACAGCGCCTCTTAGACTGTGAGATTGAGGGGAAGGACGGGGATCCAATCAGGTCTGCTGCTTGCAAATGTGTTGCCAAGGAAAATGCTGATAGCAGGATAGAGCAGAGTGAGCAGAGAAATGGCCTTATTACTTTATGGCTGCTCTTTCAATGTCCAATCAACAGACTGGGGGTATACAGTGGGGGCACCACTGTATTCCTCTCCACTGGAGTTGAACTGAATTGAATTAGATGGATTGCTGCTAGAGGTTGGGCTGTCCACTGTGACTTGGCACCCTGTACTATCCCCCACAGGAAGGTTGGGGAAGTGGTGCTGGAGTGTTATCTACTACTGTAACCTTCCAGGCATTTTCAGCAACGTGGACAATAAGGACCCTTTCACATGGGAGGTCAGATTGAACAGACTAGCACTGGGCATCCGATCGGGCCTGCCTGAAAAGTGACAGCCGGACCCGATCTGATGCCCAATGCTAGTCTATGGGCAGCCGGATCTAAACAGATGGGCATCTGTTCACACCTGGGTACCCCCAACTCTAGCCAGGTCGAGAAAAACAAACAGTACAGTGTTCCGTTTCGCCGGACGTGATCGCACTGGATCGGTGTAATCTGATGTAAACTGACACATGCCCATTCACATCCAACTCCCCATTGGCCGACATGGGGTCCGGCAGTGTTATTCCTTTCCTCCATCGCAAGATGGGCAAAAAAACTGCGCGAACTTGGATGTCACAGTGGTGACATCCGATCTGTACTGCTCTGATGAAAAGCAAATGTGTTTCTACATATGGCAAATGTTACCCAAAAAAGTATTTATAAATAAGAAGAAACACATAAAATAAAACACAGCATAAGATATTTTGTAGCTCAATAGCTGCAGTCAGGTGTTGAGAATCAGATAGAACAGACCAGACTGTTGTGTAGGAACTTTTTTGTTATAATTTTTTGCTCCAATGTTACAATTGCTCAGTGTGTCTTGCAATCCGCAGTGTGGATCAGTACACAGCTGAGTAGAAATGTCCATAAGGTGACATTCTGTTTCTCACAGAGAGCTCTCTTTTTACCCTGGTATTCCGACACCCAATATATTGCAAAGAGTTAATGTCAAGACCCCTTTCAATAACACGACCTTAGGCAGAATTGTGATTTTATTCAAATTAGACATTATGTTACAGATTGACTGTGATAGACATGACATTATAGAGACATGCTTGTGCCGCACTCCCCAGTTAGGGTCATTTATAGAAACATATTGTGTTGCCACCTGACAATCATTTTAGGTAGCTGTTGCAGCTTATGCTGCTTCAGCTTTCACTCCTTCCTCGGCTTGTATTGGTAATTACAGTTTTTAATTAGTGTGTAATAGACTATGTCTAGCCATCTGCTTATTTGTCCTGAATTCATATAATCTCTTGTGTATTCTTCTGGAACCGGAAATCATATTGTTCACAAAAAAAAAGTATCCTTACCTAAGAGGGACTGTATGGTTGTACTGCACTGTTGTAGACGGTCACCGGGGTCAGATGTGGGGAAAAACACTGCTGCTGGGAGACCACTTACTGGTGGGTCAAGGCGAAACCCCACAGCTGTCAGCAGTGACTGCCAGCCTTGTACTCCTCCTACTTTATTTTCCACACTCTGCTGGGACGTGTACATGGAATTACGCTGTCCATTCTGAATCCTCTGCAAAGACTTCTCCACCTACAGAGCATTAAAGACATGATGCACAATAATTTTAACAACTGCAAATAGACAATCAATTTTGCAAGTCATATATGGATAGTTCAAGAAGAACAACACCCCAGCTTTGAAGAAATCCTGCCCCAGCATAATTTTGTAAACGTTTTTTAAGTCAATAATACTGTATATATTGATTTGAATGTACAGTTTCCTTCACAAACCCTAACTGTGCCCCATGAATGTCTGTATAACATGGCTGTTGATTGGTGAAGGCACCACCATATTTTTGTAGATACAATTTGCAGTGAAGTCACTGCTTATGCCCAGAGGCGGTGATACAGTATAACACAATTATTTTGTTTCCATATATTCTAAATGCAAAAAGAAGTTGAAAAAAAGAAAAACTTGCTTTTCTGGTTTAACCACACAATGTAAAGAGTTGAGCCTCAGGGTTTTAACCCAATCTACAGCCCCAATTTTGAGGGGAATGCTAATTGTGATTTCTGGACGCACACAGCATATCCATTTAAATTCTCTAAACAGTCTAAATGTACTTATAGGTATGTCATTACAATGGCCTAATCTGTTGAAAACACCCAGCCATATGCTTATGTCTCCCACATAGATACCACTGTCTCTTAGCTGATGGGGGAAATAGCGATAGCTTGGAAACATTGTTTCCTCCTCATCTGTCCTTACCCTCTACATATAATAAATAAGAAAAGTGGTTCAAGCTGAGTCTTCTTATTGTTATGTTGGTCAGCTGATGCCAGTTGATGGCTGACAGATCATGTATTAGTCTGACACCTTAAGTATAACAAGGCAGCTAGGGGGAGCAGTGTTGCATGACAAACATATAACATTCTTAAGTAGTGGTCCATTTTAACTCATTCAAGTAAAAAAAACAAAAAACGACAGAATTTATAACGATTCCAAGTGAATAAATCTTACCAGATGCAAGAGAACTCTAAGAGCATCTCTTGCACGGTCAGGGTTCTGGAGGATCTCAGATAAGGCTTGACCAATGAGCGATGATGGACTGTTCAGCTTTACATCACTGCCGATTAGCATGTATCCTGTACAAAATTTTCAAATAATTATAGTCATGAATGTAACATATCAGTCAGGCATGTGTTTCTTAACATAATATAGAACTTTAAAAAAAGCTTTATTGGCAATATACTTTAATAAAGTGTTGATGTGAATGATTCTTGTTTCTTTGTATGTTTAAGAATTTATGTACAGCAGTGTTTTCAGTGTTTTATCATGGGTCAATGATTCTTCATTGTCATTGGCTTCAAGTTAGTTGTTACCGTCTCATGAATGGCAACTATCAACACAATGAGTGACTTTAATCAGCACTTGCAATAATAATATTATTTGGAATAGTTATATGGATCATAATGTTTTTAAGTTACATGGCTTATTGTGATGTACCTGAACCAAGCCCAAAATAAGGAGAGGGCAAAAGACTAGTTTCCAACCCTGCCTGTTGGCCCACTGCAGCTGTTCTTCATCCCACTATTGACTTTCTATGCTTTGTTTTGCACCATGTCTCTGTTTGCAGAGACATGGTGCAACATTACTTCTAATGTTAGAGCTGCCACCCTGATTGACTGGTGATCTGATCATGAATGTTCAAGAAGCAGGAGGAGATGTGGAAGAAGTACAGATTTACAGAATGGATGAATTACCAGCAGGTAAATCCTTGCACTGCATATTTTTAGGTACTGCTTTCTTTCCAACAAGGTGAGCGGCAAGCAGCACAAAAGTGCTCACACCACATCTTTGGAGACTAGAAGTGAGAGGAGGTAGTTCCTTAAATTATGTCACACTGCCAATATACAGCTATGGGGTTCTAGCACAGGAGGTGCATTGTTATTTTTCAAGAGGAATTCAAGATAAAAGGCACACTTCCAGGGTGCCACTTAGGCACAATAAATATTTCTAAATGTTCCCAATAACATAGTAAATCTTCACTTTTTAAGTTCAGGTCCACTTGGGAAGATAAAAATAAGATGTTTTAAAGGATCTGACCATAACTGATATTTCAGTCGTGGTTAGAACCCAGTGTGCTTCAGTGGTAAGATCTCTACACTGCAGGTGCCCAATTTACCTAGCTGCTGGGTCAATGCAAATTGCCAGCTATGAATATTATGTACGAGAGAGCAGTACATAACCTACCTCTCAAAAACACACTAACAAAAAAAAAAACCCACTGGGTTTATACTCCAGGCGGCAAAATATACCTGCTCAGTGAACCTTGGTTTCAAAAAGCACTTATGCGTTGCTCTGTATTTTCTAAGGGACAGAGGGCAATACATGAGCGCCTTTTTGAAACCAAGATCTACTGAGCAGTCACATTTTGCAGCCTAGAGTATGAGCGATGTGCTGGGTTTCAACCTGCACATTGGTGGGCAGTTCAACCATGGTGCACTCATAATTATAATATCAGATTCATCTGGATGATCCTTGAAATTCTGCATCCCTACATCATTTTCAAACATTTTATGTACATGTACATGTTTCTGATTATGTATAATCTAAAATGAAAGCTCTGTATTTACTGGTCACGTATAACATATTCATTGTATAAAAAAGTAAATAAAGAATTTGCAATTATTTTCCTTTAGACAGCAAAGACTATGAAACATCACCAACACATCTCCCTGTATTAGACATTGATGAGTATCTCTATAATGATTAATTATGTTTATTTATAAGATAAATCAGGTTGTCTTTTTGCTATGCCTGTTCTTTCACTGCTCCATGTGCAATGCTCATTTAACTTATCAGTTAATAAACAGGCTACTCTGAAATATTGATTATAACCTTTTCAGTCTCATTATGTTTCAGTTAACTTATGAGAAGCAATGAGCAAGAATTTCTCAGCTCGAAAGCATTCTGATCAATAATTTAATTTGCTGAACTTTCTATATTATGTTACAGTCCAGATTCATTGCTGAAGTGTTTTTAGAGTTGTCAACCCCCTACCCTTAAAAAAGACACAAACATAGTTGCTAATACTTCTAGGTGCCTTTAACTAGTGATAAAGAAGACCAAAGGCTCAAAATCAACTTTGATTTAGTGTTGCAGGCAGAGATGTGAAAGAAGTATACAGTGTTCAACACGTGTCTTGTTCACTCATATGTTTGCACAGCCGCCTGAACTTTGACCAGGGGAAATATCTAAATTTTATTTGATGCAATGATGTTATTGCAGATATTGAATGCATGGCATTATTAGAGCATTCCATACGCTTAAAAGCATTCAGCAGACACAGCTATGTATAGAGTTCTTCAGTGACAATAAGTGTGATGACTCATTGCCATAAAACAGAGATTATGAACACTATATATCAAAAGGATGACTTTGTTACAATCTAATTTTGATCACAAATATGTCTGTGAAGGTTCTCATTTATCCAGGTCATGGTATATCTGTAAAAAATAAGTCAAGACAACTGGACTTCTGTATTTTTCTTGAAGACGTTTCATTGGTCATCCGACTAGCTTTCTCAATTCAGAATGACGATGTCCAGTTGCCTTGACTTATTTTTTACAGCTAGATCACAAATAGGTTAGAATTTCAAAGGCCGTATATGGATTTTTTTTTAAATTGGCGATAATTAGCATATACTTTATAACTAATTATTTCTTCAGCCTATTTATTGTTTTAAATGGAGTAGGGAAAAAACAGAATCTCCATCAGGTGTTGCAGTGTCACCAGAACAAGAAATGAGGGGCATTGTTGTATCTGAGCAAAGACATCAAAAGGACAGTTTGCAAAACTTATTGCCAGGAAAATACTCCCCTTGAAGTGGGACTGCCCCTGCCATGCAATGGGTTAAATTCTCATTTAGGTCTAGGGTACCTGGGTGAAGCACTTTTATTTATGTACAGGGCTATTCACAAAAGGGTGACGAGTTTGGAGAAGGCAGGAGAAGTGAACAATCTAGGAAAAAATAGTTGATTTGGAGAAATTGTCCAATTCAGCTCACTTTCCACTTCAGCTATTTTGTCCCAGGTTGTTCACTACCCCTGCCTTCTCCAAACCCCTCACCCTTTTGTGATTTTAACCCTGTTAGTACCTACTCCTGCAGGGTCCAAAACCAGCACCAGCAGCCTCTTTCCCCCTATGGTGGTTGGGGACCTGCCGATGTCATCACACACAAGGCCAGGGGATGCCATTGGTCAGTCCACAAGTGTGAGCATAGGAGGGACAAGGTGAGCGCCGATTGCTGGGGGCAGCTAAATGACAATTTAACCCTCACAGTCTGGGTGTATCCCCACTTCAAGGGGGTGTTTTTTTTCCCAAAGGTAGGCTTTAACCATTACAGGTTCTCAAATTACACAATGAAAATGTTTGGATTGCTGTCTACATCCCAGCTGGATAAATTTTCAATTACTTCCTGTCTGAAGACACCCTGTCATTGTGACAAATGTGAGTGGAAGTCACTCCAAGGGGATAGCAAAAGACACCTGAAAAAATGTTTAAACCGTTCCCAGTCTATACAGAATAATAATAAAAAAATGGTATTGCATTGCACCTAACAAAATCAACATACCTAATATGTTAGTATTTAGGTATGCGCCTATTACCTACTCTACTGTAGTATGGGTGAGCTATATAGCTTTTCTATGCATTTATTAGCTTTTTTCCAGTAGATGTGGTGATGTAAATGGCTGCATGTAAATCACAGCAGCTCTTCTCTGTGAGGCCAGTTTGAGTGATGAGCAATATCTGCATCCTAGGCTGATGTCAGCTCTGCAGAGCTCTGCATTTCAGAAAGGTTTGAAAAGACTCTTGTCTGACAGGGAAAATACATTTTCCTTGAGTGTCAGCAGCCAATATATATAATAAAAAAGGAAGAATAAAGTTTTCTGGAATGCCTGTAAAACATCACCTCTACACTGAGCTAACATGTATTAACAATAGGTAAAGACAGCCAATTTCACATAATAATTACACGATTGACCATTTATTGTAACGACAGCCAAGTGCTGGAAATGCCAAGACTATTGTTTCTGAGTTCTGTAATGTTTGAGTCCATGCATGTGCCTTGAACATTACTTCCATATGTTTACTTTGTGTCCCCGTATTAACCATATCAGCCACAATAAACCTTATGGTTTCACATGAAAATAACATGGTCAAAGCAATAAAAAAAAGAACCTTAATAAGCTGAAGTACCATTTTTCTATATTCTGTCATGTTTTTGGATGGTCCGCTCTATATGGATGGACTGCTCTGGAATTGCCCAGTTAGACCTCAAATATGACTTACAGTCAGGACATGTTTGGGCACTTTAAAGTGGATCTGAACTGAAAAAGTGAAGTGTGCTATTTTATAGAGAAAATTTGAAAATGGTAATTTTGCCTAAAAGATGTACCCTTTGTCTTGAATTCCACTTGAAGAATAGAGGTGACCCTGCTGGTATGCTAGTGTATAACAGTGTGTCTCCTGTTCTGTTACCTCATAGATGTATATCTGCAGTGTGCTCACTGTTCTTGCTGGAGAGAAATTTTACCTGGGAATGTGCAGGGCAAGGGTCCCACAGTTTCTGCTATATTCACTCTGTCACTCCGGTATTCCACCACCTCTCCTGCAGCTTCTTAACTATTCCCTCACCAGTCAAAAAATTCCCAATCATCAGGGGGCAGATCTGACAGGAGAAGCAAAGCCCTGCTGATCTACCAAAATTGCTATCCATACACAATGAAACTATGTTGAACAAGGCATGCTAAGTTAGTAATTGAGAAAAAATCAGTTAAAAGAGAACTATGGTGTAAGTGTTTTTCCCCATAGTTCTCTTTAGGGTCACGGGAGGACATATACTAACCTTCTCCCGTGACCCAAAGCTCAGTATATAGCAGGCTATTGTTGCCTACTATATAATGAGACCGCTGCAGCTGGGACGGATCCCAACAATACTGTCTGGATCCACCCAGCTGCGTGATTGACAGCTGACTCTGCCTATCTATCTGTCTGTTCCTCCAGTCAGCGCTGGAGGAGCGGAGAGGGGAGGGGGGAGAATCCCTGTGGGGAGCGGTGACTGACAGCCACCGCTCTCTGCAGTGAGATGATCGGAAAGTGAGCGTGCGACGGTATGTTTTCGCTCACTTCCCGATCGATAGAGCCAACCTGTGACAGCTTCTTTGTCACAGGTCGGCACTAACTATGAGGATGAGTGGAAATCACTCACCTCATAGTTCTCCTTTTACTCTGCTTGTCTTCTTTTGGCACAGCTTCCCAGCACAGGTCCTATGTTGCATTTGCCCTTTGCCTATGCGATGGTCAAGGAAACGTGCTGAGAATAATATGCAGGCTGCTCTTGCTTACCATCTTCTAAAAATGTTAGTTCCCTGGGTGTACTTCTGAACAGTGATTTTAATACTTGCTCAGTTACAGCCCCAGAACAAGTATGCAGACCAGGAGCTCTGACTTCACTTGCTGCACGCTTATTTCAGATTACTCACTCGGAAGTCCTGAAGTCTTGGGTCAACTTTACAGACCGGAAACTGTAGGTGAGAAATGCCTAAATATTGCTCTCAGCTCAGGACTCTTTTAAGTTTTATGTAAGATAAGTTTAAGGACTTATCTTACATAGTGGTGACTTACTAATAATTTTCATTGGAACAATACCATGGAGGATACAAATGTTGATGCCTAAATGACTATTTAAAAACATGAAAGCAGAGTATGTGCCCTTATGAGTTTTTGAAAATCACTCAAGGACTGTCTTTGAACATACATATTCTCAGATAATAATCAGATTTTGTCAGAGATATTACGCTCCCAAGTTTTTCACAGTAGCACTTGGAAGAGGTGATGACAATAGAAGATATACTGCAAATGTAATGTCAAGTAGCGAGGCAGAGTTACAAATGACATGGATAACAGCTGCATCTAATAAAAATGATGTACAATGCAGACACAAAGTAATTATCATACCTGCCCAGTTTGATGGATGTGAGTATTGCTTACTGCTCTGTACTATTTTCATTGCCTCAGACAGGGATGCACTTGCTTTCATTCCATTCAGGAGTGCTGAATAAAAGGCATGGACAAACATTTTTGAAGCAGAAACAGGCACAGGCCATAGAGATACAAGGACACACTGAGCACCGGCAGCCAAGAAGGCCCTCGTCAAGCCAATAATTCCATCAGCTGTAACTTTGTTGCTGGATTCCTGATATGATCCAAGAACCACTAGTTTTACAGGAAGCCTGAGATCCAGGACATCTGCTGCTGTCAGGAGAAATTCCTGAAGGGGTGGACAGTCTGATATACTTTCAACATCACTGGCATCATCCTGCATCTGTAAAGACTCAGGAATGGTGTAGGTGTTTCCAAAGGTGCTTTTATTGGTTCCGGAGTTGTTCTCGCTATTTGGAGTTAGTATTAAAGCTGCGAGTTTCCATGAGATGTGGGTGGCAAAGTGCACGCATTCAGCTTGTGTGAGTGCGCTCATCACCTTGTCTTTCATGGCCAAAGTGCCAACAAGAGGCTGACAACCCAATAATTCAGATACCATGTAAGCTTCCTCTTCTGCTGAGGGCATTGGTCCCCAGAGCCATCTATCCATCACTGATGGAGGAAGCTTAGGGTTTCCAATAACAGCAGCCATGGAGGTAGAACTTGAATATAAGGGAGCATTTTTCCGTAAGTGAGACTGTAAAATAAACAGAAAGAAGAACATTGATTTATTAGGGTCCAAAAGGTAGATCTGCATCAATCACCAGTGTTTATTCTTGAGTCACACTATAGCTTGATTCGCTAAAACTCATGACATCTTTAACAGTAAGAATGGCAGGGACCAAACAACAAATTAACCTTGATCTGGGATTCTATGCAATCAGTCCTCCCACACAACTTCTTATCCACAGGTCATATAATCACTTTGTACCTGCCAGCTAAATATCACTATTCTTCCAATTGCCTAACGCTGTAACAGACTAAGCTCGGACAATCGTAATCCTGCTATGAATATTTCTATGTATAGAAACCATTATAAGTCTACATTAAAAAAATTGTCTGTGGCAAAGGACTAGCAAGCATGCTTTAAGTAAGGGGCAGTGGTGGGACACTAGCATAGGCTGCCAGTAGGTTGCAGCATGTACCAAACTCATTAAATTTTAGATTTCTGCTACTCCATCATTTAAGGATGGATAATATATGATTTAAATACCTCCTGACTTTCTGAAATAAGAAAGTGGGACGTCTTCCAGCACAATATATTTAGGCAATAAACACCACTGCCACACCTCCAGTTATGCAAGCCATTGAATTTGTATGCCAAAAATGATTGGTTAAACCTAGAATTGTTTTTATGGCATCATTACTTTTCCTTCATACTGACTTGTCGAAATAGCAAACAAGATAATTAAGAGATAGATCAATGTTTTAGGCAGAACAACACTTTTGGTAGGTAAATAGAATGTTTTCATAGATATCTGTACATCAGTCCACAAAAAAAGGGGCAGCTGATGAGGAAAGAGGGACAGACCGATTTGGTTCCAAAAGAGGCACAGTGCCATCAAATGAGGTATATCATTTAGATTAAGACAAAATATATTCTGCATATATTATAGTTAGTCTCATTATAGTGAAATCTCTGATAAACTCAAGAAGTGGACGGTTTTGTAACCTTTAAACAACAGGTTAACCTTCATTAGTAGGGAGTGGGAATGAGCTCAGGTTCAGTCCAAGCCTGGTCCGAACCTAAGCTACACCAAATAAAGAAGTGCCATGGACACTTTCACCCAATCAGCTGCAAGCCCAACAAAGGGGCAGGATGTGCCGATATCATTTACCCTATATGGCCACATAGCTATATTAGGTAAATGTCCACCAAATATAGGCATGTAGCCATATAAGGTCATTGGCTGCATCCCACTCCTTTGCGTACATCAAGCTGTGGGTGGGGAAGAGCTCAGGTTCGCTCTGGGTTCAGTCCAAACCTGAACTCATCCCTATTTATTAGTATTGGAATATTGTTGTACAACAGATGCTTACCACTGTTTCTAATAACTAGCCCGTGATTTGCTCTGCAGAACATTTTCTGCAAGTTAGTTTTCATGAATGACAATTTTCATCATGTTCAATGGTGTTAAATTTGGAGCTTATAAATATCTGAAATATTTTTTGGCAAAATGGTTACTGATTTAATGTAAAATCAGTTATGTTAATATTACCTTATTCATTTATCTAAAAGTATAATAATATGTATTTTCCACATTGTAGATACTTAACTTAAATCAGAACCGTAGGCAGATATGAAAGACAAACTTTAAGGTCTCAGACTAAAGACCTATTATCACTTACATTATGGGGCAATCTCACAAATTCCTCCATGAGATTCAGCATATGTAATATGGAACAGCTGCGGGAGAGAAGCACTAAACAAAGCAATGAGAGGCTGACAACAGCCACAGCCATTCTCAGCCGTTCCAATGTAATCAGACATTACCTGCGGGTGATTGCCCCTAGACACAAACTGTTTGCATCTATTCACATAAACACCACTGAGTTTCATGGAGGGAATTGTGAAACTCCCCCGAAATGCAAGTCTAAATGGGGCCTTAAAGAACATGCCATGACACTGTAAGGCTGGAAGGCCCTATTGAACTGCAGAGTGGTGTCCATCTAGCATAGGGAGATTGTGAAGAAAGCTGTAATTCTTTAAATGCATTGGAAAAAAGTGAGGTCTGGGTCCTTGTTATTTTATCTGGCAGGGTTGTCTGGAATAAAAGACTGGCTAAGAAGAATTACAAATGCATTGCAAAAAAGTGGGGTCAGGATCCTGGGTATTCTCTCTGCTAACGGTGCCTCGAATACAAGACAAGCTATGCAGAATTACAAATGCATTGGAGAAAGTAAGGTCAGGGTCCTGGATATTCTCTCTGGCAATGGTGCCTGGAATACAAGACGGGCTATGCAGAATTACAAATGCATTGGGGAAAAGTGAGGTCAGAATCCTGGCTATTCTGTCTGGCATGGGTGCCCGGAATAAAAGACTGGCTAAGCAGAATTACAATTTTGTTGCTTTGTAAGCCACACATGTATTTCAACATTGAATATATTTTCTTTAAAAAGTTGGAACTTAACATCTGCTTTTAGCACTATCAGAAAATGAAATGAACCCGGAGCTATTCATCTGTATGAATCATAAATTTGGCGACAGAACTAAATCAAATATATTTCGTTCTTACCTTGGAATTTATGTTCAGAGATCGGATGGAGGGAACAGCAATCAGACTGAAGCGTTCATAAAGATACTCGTTTGATGAGCTGCCCTTTAGCAGAGCAAATGGGATGAGGTAAAGTTCTCCTTCCAAGACCAGCACTAGTTGACGATGTCTGCCCACCGGACCGCTCGAATGCATTAGTCCCTTCAGGGAATAGAAAGATGGAAATGTTCACTGTAATGCTACTTTTTTTGGAAATATCTCATTATTAGTTTATTCGTATTGGTGAATCCTGCTTTCTGCAATGTCATGGCTGTAGTTGTGGAATTATCAAATAACTCCTCCGGGTTTAACACCACATCATTATTTGTCACATTTCACTGATGTACAGTCCACTGTACAGTCCACTCGTAAGACCCAATCTGATTTTATTAGCCTGACCTTAAACTCCTGAAAGCTAACATCCAATTTTGCGATCCTACACCACATTACACAACATATAAACACTATACTGTTGTGTTATTACTTTTCACTAGTGTGTTATGTTATTATTCAACAATATACCGTTGTAATATCAATCTTCCCCATACTGTTGCAAAATTAAAACTATACTGTTGAGTTATTACTTCGCACTAGTCTCTTCTGTTATTACTTTGTACTAGTTGTTGTGCTATTACTTTGCACTATTCTGTCGCGTTATTACTCTGCACTATTCTATTGTGTTATTACCCTGCGCTATACTGTTGTGTTATTACTTTGCACTATTCTGTCGCATTATTACTATGCGCTATTCTACCGTATTGTGTTATTACCCTGCACTATTCTACCGTATTGTGTTATTACCCTGCACTATTCTATTGTGTTATTACCTTACACTATACTGTTGTGTTATTACTTTGCACTATTCTGTTGTGCTATTACTTTGTACTAGTCTGTTGTGCTATTACTTTGTACTGTTATGAGTTTACTCTGCACTATACTATTGTGTTATTACTTTGTACTAGTCTGTTGTGTCATTACTTTGCACTATACTGTTGTGATTTTACTCTGCACTATACTATTGTGTTATTACTTTGTACTAGACTGTTGTGCCATTACTTTGCACTGTACTGTTGTGCCATTATTTTGCACAACTGTACTGTTGTGCCATTACTTTGCACAACTGTACTGTTGTGCCATTACTTTGCACAACTGTACTGTTGTGCCATTACTTTGCACTCTACTGTTGTGCCATTACTCTGCACTGTACTGTTGTGTTATTACTCTGCACTGTACTGTTGTGTTATTAGTCAGCACTATTCTGTTGTGATTTTACTCCGCACTACACTATTGTGCCATTACTTTGTATTAGTCTGTTGTGTTATTGCTCTGTACCATTCTGTTTTGTTATTACTTTGCACTATACTGTTGTGATCTTACTCTGCAGTATGCTGCTCCTTAGCTCCATCCAATAATGCAAAATTACATTACAATACATTTGACCTGAGAATAAAATATATCAAGATTGTTCCTTTTTGTCATTATTTGCATAAATAAAAGTGTTTGCAGGGTGAAGGGCCCTGCATATTGTTTATAATATTTAGACAGGCAAATATGAGAAATGAGCCAAGAGCTCCACTTATTGGTTGCAATTCATAAATGAACTATTCATATGCAACATTTCATTTCCTAGACCAAAAAAACTTTTTAGTATTGAACACTGTACAGTATATTCCCTTCAATATTAAGTTTAGAAAATAAAAATATGATGGTATCCCCTAAAAAAATATGGTCTTTTTAAATGTGGAAAATCTGGAAAACAATAACCTGGACTCCAGAAATACATTAGCAATTCTTTGTTTCTCTTGCATACTATTTAGCTTTTTGCTGGATATTTTAAACCCACTCCAAGCTGAGGATCACTGGCATATAGTGTCATACATAAACATGACATGATAGCCTAACACATCATATTTAGAGCGGTGCTGATGTGTTCCCAAGAAATGTACATCATTTACTGGAATATCCTACTTGTGCTCATTTTGCATCTCTAGCTCACATTGGCCGATGTGCTAGAGAAAGAGATTTAGGGTCAGGCATGGTGACATTAAGCAGCCTCAGGAGACTTCATGAGAAACCTCTTCACTCCATTCTGACAAATTGTTTACAAAAACCAATGATTCCTTTAGGGAGGCATCCATAGACCAAAGCCCACGGTGAACTTGCTTCCGTTCTCTGAAGCTAAATTTACCAGCATTTGCTCAATCTTTCGTCTCCTTGCACAGTATGAGCTGACAAGAAGTATCTTCCCACTACTGGGAAGTGTTCTCTAGAAATATTTTCCTTCTATTTCACGTTTGACTTAGTGCTCTCAAAGCATTAGCTCCAGGTAACTTTTAGCAGCTACTGTAAGTCATAGTGACAAGTGCCTACCCAGAGTTCCAATTTAGAAGAAACCCCTGAGGTTTGCTCTTGTGCTTTACGGAGGCTTCATGCAAGAGCTGCGCAAATGGAATAACAAAGAGCATTTGCATTTTCATCCTATTTACAGTCATTAGGTAAAATACATTCCTTAAAATCAGACCATGCAAATATATTAATATTTATGCAGCGGTGGGGGAAAAATGTACGCTCTGTACAAATTATAAAACTCTGCATATTAATGTAGGGGGTAGCTGGATTTATAGTATTATAATACACAAGAGAGCTGATACCACAAACATGCATAGCATTACAAAGCAAATAAGAACAACATCTGACAGTAACATATATCAAAAAGCATGTATTGCTGACCTGCATAATACATATTAAATAACCCAAATGTTTATACATTAATAAATATGTCTATTATGTTTTCTTTCATTTTTTTCCAGCAGTGGGCTGCTTTAATACAGAATGGAAATACAACGTGGCAAATAGCGAGCACATTGAGACTGTGTTATAGATAGTGGGGGGCATTATTAAAATGTTTGTACATGTGATTTTTTTTGCTTCAGTATGAAATGCATCTTCTTAGTTATTTAACTTGCAAAATTAAATTAAGTAAGCTTTTGTGTTTTAACAATGGTGCTTATTTCAGAAAAGGATTCACAGAGGTAGGGCTGTTTTTGACACCATGCTGCTTTAGGCACACCTGAATGTCTTTTGTACAAGCTTCACCCCTTGGGTCAGTACTGGAATGCACCATTAGAGGCAGCATGCAGTCTGCTTTATGTGCACCATTGTTCAGATGTACAAACCATCAAACAAGTGAAAGGAAAGAAGGCTTCATATTTCCACAGCTATAAACAGCCTCATGACTTCTCATTATATCTCAGTCTACAGTGTCAGTAGAGGATCATCCCCCATGCCTTGATATCTTTCTAATGGCATGTGCACATTAGTATCTTTTAGATCAGGATTTCATCAGTTTTTACTTTGTGAGCTTGCTCCCAGGCTATGGAGATTCAGTAGTTAACATATTCCGAATAAGCAGTAAATACGTTTTAAAACAAGCCTTCACTGCCATCTGTAGCTGCGGGTACTGTGGAACAATTTATCCTCAAAGTCAACCTTGAGCAGTTCCACTCTCCCCCTCTTATTTAGAGATTAGATGAATTAAGGGTAAGTTCACATGGGTATGCATTCTCGGCAATTAAAATCAATGGGACACTAGAGTATGGATGTTGTATGACATTTTTGGGTAGTTCCACACAATGCAGTGCCTAACAAATGCAGACTTGGCATTTGGGGGGCACTTGGCACATGCTGAAATTAGGTGCCAAGTTCCCTTTTTGTAAACTAACAGTAATACATGCTGCCAATAATAAGTAATTGATAATTTATTTAAATGTAGACAATTTTAAAGGAATCAGTCAGTTGGCTACATAAACAAGTGGGTAGCTTTGATTTGCTGCTCTGTGCCTAGATACTGCAGATAATAATTCTACATGACCATATACAGAGTAAATTGTTTTTATAATATTATAACATTAATGTAGAAACTGACAGGAGGCAGAAACATGTTATTCTAAGTGCTGACTTGCTGTGTGTGAAAAACAATAATCCATATGTAACAAACTCTAACCAGTTTTACATATTGATTATTCACAGTAGCTCTAGAGCAGCCTTTCTCAATCTTTTTTACATGGAACCCTTGAAGTAACTTTCAGATCTCAGGGAGCCCATACTAATAATTATTATACCTTTAACTCACAGTATATTAGCTGAACAGCACATTGAGATATAACAATATAAGAATAAGGAATGTGGTGTTGTTAGCATATTTGACACACTGGGTTGTTTTATATGATTACATTATTTTAAAATGAAATCATTAATAAAATGAATAGTCAGAAAAGAAACAGACAAATTAAAAAATGTAGTGTTCCCTCACATTGGTGGTCAGTGTAGTCCCCTCTTATATTGGCGGTCAGTGGAAGAAGGACCCTCTTGCATTTGTGGTCATTGGGAGAAGGACCCTCTTGCATTTGTGGTCATTGGGAGAAGGGCCCATCTTACACTGTTGGTCGGTGGGAGAAAGGCCCCATTACACAATGGCCAGTGGTAAGAATGCTCACATTGGTGGCCAATGTCTAATAGAAAGATAAAAAGGTAATTGGTGTCCGTGGTTACCTATTTTAGAGGCAGAAATTGATAACTGCACATGGAACCCTTGTTGAGAGAGATTGCTCCTGATGCATTTTCAGGACAATGTGAGAAAATGATCAGAATCTGTCATGTATGTTGCCCCAGCAGACAAAGTTGGCTTTGGAAAGCCAGAATTTTGAAACATTCTTCACAGGAGCACAGCTAATTTATTTTACTCCGATTTGTCTACATTTTTTTTACTGCTACACTCACTGACCTGTATCACCTAATGAAATTTCCTTCAGAGCTACTCTTTTTATCTCTAGCTTTCAAAAAACTTGTAACAAAGTGACCTGCATCCAACAATGTCCTTGTGAATAATTTAATAACTAATTAACTCCAACAGAGTATATTGTGCTGACTAAAGAATGTGATACTGTGGTCTTAGATCTGTCATAGGTTGCCTTTAACACCATCCATTCTCAGTGTCATTTTTATCCCACAGGAATATTATCAAAAGGGGGATCAGAGTAATAATAGCATCTAAGGCATACACTTTAAAAAAATGTATTTCTAACACTTTTTTTGCTGAAACAACCTTGAGTAAAATGGTTTATTGAGAAGTGACAGTTAAAAATAAATATGTGAGTTTTATC